AAAAGCAAAGAGTAAAGGATACCAATACTGTATTTCAATTTTATCACTATTGAAAAGCACTGAAGCAAAGCGTTAGAGGTATACACTGCTGCCTACCAAAATGCACCAAAGGTTGATGAGGGAGATTTATAGGTTTTTCAGAAGCTCTAGGTATCCACCAGATCATCAACCTCATTTAGATAACGTAAGAATGTTACCCAGTGATCTGGCTCAGCCAGTAACTCCGGAAACCAAAAGGAAAGTTTTTGTGCACTGTGAGGCCAAGTGCTCCATCCCCAGGAATACCGAGGGAGCTGGACAAATCAAAAGCACAGCTCCTGGCTAGGTTTGCCAACGCTGTTGCCGAACAAACTCGGATAAACTCATCGCAAAAGAAGCCAGTAACTCAAGAGACCAGGGTTTGGAAAAGAGAAAGAGAAATTTATTTCAGGTGCCAGCAGCCAGAGGAGGTGGCAGACTCAAGCCTTAACTGACCTCTCAGCCCACAAGTTGGATACCTAGAGTTTTATAGGGAGAGGTTCAGAGGGGTACGTGCCAAAGAACAGACAGAGAGTGTGTGATCACAGGTTGGGGGTTTGGTATGTGTGTATCACGTGATCGTGGGCAGGGAGGGGATGTGGGGGATGTGGTCTTTCTAGGCATTCTGTTGCTGTTGGGGCTTTTCTGGCCTGGCGGTTACAATGTTCTGGTCATTGCAAAACCTCTTCATCAATGCCTCAAGAAAGTATGATTAGAAATTAGAGCAATAGGTTTCAGTTAGAGCTTGAGTTAGGCATCCTGCTATTTCTGGTTTTAACTGTTGGGATCTGTAGTTAAGCAAGAGGGCTCACTGACAACAAATTCAAATTCAGAGTTTCCAGAGATCAGTGTCAGCTAAGTGTGTATCTGCAACAGGAAAGGTATCCACTTGTTGACTAAGAAAGGGTCAACAGGCAGATGATTGAGATGTTACGGAAGAAAATTAATTTTCTTACACTTGTTTCCATTTTCATCTTAAAATGACTCAGAATCCAGGATTACAGTGGTACCCCTTATCCAGGGGAACACATTCCAAAACCCCCTGTGGATGCCTGAAACCATGGATAGTACCGAAACCTGTATATTCTGTTTTTTTCCTATACAGACATACCTGTGATAAAGTTTAATTCATAAATTAGGCAGTAAGAGATGAACAACAATAACTGATAATCAAAAAGAACAATTACAACAATATACTGTGATAAAAGGTTTGTGAACATGATCTGTCTCAAAATCTTATCGTTCTGTACTCACTCTTTTTGTGATAATGTGAGATGATAAAATGCCTGTGCGATGAGACGACTTGTAGACATTGTGACACAGCATTAGACTGTTATTGATCTCCCGAGGATACATCCGGAGGAGGATCATCTGCTTCTGGATCTGATGGAGGCTAACTGAACCCCAGGGAAAGTGAAACTGGGTCAGGGGGTCTGCTAGACTGAATTGTAAAACTTTATACTGGCTTGCTATGTTAAACCTCAAAAAGAAATGCTACTGAAAATAGGGGAAAAAAATAAAGGAAGTTTGTGCTGACCTAAAATGAAGGTTTCAAAAAATATTACATACCCAGTCATTTTAACCTCTTACCTTGTGACGTGTATCAGTGTTTTATGAACACGCAGGCATGAATCTTAAAGTCACATTCAACCTGATTCTGGTTCTAAAACAAAACTGTCATAGTGAAGTATTATATATGTGACTATTGCTTTTGGTACCAAAGCTAAAAATTTGGTGGCATGAAAACATAAACAGGTACACATGGAACATTATAAATCACTTAAAGTTCTATAAAAATTTTACTAAGCTACCACCTAGATAATGAAAGGATATAACAGTGACTCTTATTCCTAAAAATATAAAACAATTTAATCAGAGCCTTTATAAAGTAATTTGGGGTGACTGGGAAAAGCACTTACTCATAACAGAAAAACAGACGCCCAACAAGCTTCTTTCAAAAGGAATATTTGGGAGTGGAGGGATCTTTGTGCCAGTTAGTCATTCCCCATTCTCTGCCTTCTCTTCCCCTACCTCCAGCCCCTTGGAAACCACTTCTTCCCCCCCTCGTTCCTCCCCGCCCTCTCTGTATCTGGATTTGCCTACTCTGGAGGTTTCATGTACATTGATTCATACAACATGTGGCCTTTTGTGCCATCCTTTTGTGTCTGGCTTCTTTCACTTAGCTTAACGCTTTCAAGGTTTGTCCACATTGTAGCACGCATCAGTACTTCACTCTTCCTGATTGAACTCTTTTGTGCGGTTCTGGCACGTTTTGTTTATCCATTCATCAGTTGATGGAAATTTAGGTTGTTTCTACTTTGGGGCAATTATGAATAATGCTGCTATGAATGGTACTGTCCAAATGTTTATATAGCCTTATGTTTTCATTTCTGCTGGATTTTGCTAGGTCATGTGGTAATTGTTGAACCTTTTGAGGAACTGCCAAACTGTTTTCCAAAGTGGCTGCTGCATTTTCCCTTCCACCAGCAATGTATGAGGTCTCTCCACATCCTCACCAATATTGTCATTACCTGCTTTTTTTTTATTGCAGCCACCCTAGTAGGTATGAAGTGGTATCTTACCGTGGTTTTGATTCGCATCTAATTAGTGACTAACGATGTGGAGCATCTTCTCACATTCTAAGTGGACATTTGTATGTCTCGGAAAAAAAATGTGTTCAAATTTTATTACTATTTAATTGGGTTATTTTCCCTGTTGTTTATATGTTCTGGATATTAGACCCTTATCAAATATATGATGTAAAAATAATTTTCCTGGGATGCCAGGGTGGCTCAGTGGGTTAAGCGCCTGACTCCTGATTTCGGCTCAGGTCATGATCTTGGGATCGTGAGATCGAGCCCTTTGTTGGGCTCTGCACTCAGAAGTGAGTCTGCTTGAGATTCTTTTTCTCCCTTTCTCCCTCTCCTCTCCCCCACTTGCGCACATGCTGTCTCTCTCCCTCTCTCTCTCAAATAAATAAATCTTTTAAAAATATAAAAATAATTTTCTCCCATTTTGTGAGTTGTCTTTTCACTTTTTTTTTTTTGCCTTTACCTTTTTTAATAGTGCCCTTTGATGCACACAAGTTTTTAATTTTGATGAAGTCCAATTTATTTTTTCCTTGTGCTTCAGGTGTTCTAAGGAACCATTACTTAATCCATGATCATGATGATTTATATCTATTTTCTTCTAAGAGTTTTATAGTTTTAGGGGCACCTGGGTGGTGCAGTCAGTTAAGCATCCAATTCTTGGTTTCAGCTCAGGTCATGATCTCAGGGTTGTGGGATCAAGCCCTGTGTGGAGCTCTGCACTTAGTATGGAGTCTACTTGGGATTCCTCTCCCTCTCCCTCTGCCCCTCCTGCTCATGCTCACACTCTCTCTCTTTCTCTAAAAAAATCTTTTTTTTTTTTAAGTTTTATAGTTTTAGATATTGGATCCATTAGAGTTAATTTTTATATATGATGTGAAGTAGGGATTCAAATTCATTCTTTTGCAGGTGGATATCCAGTTGTCCTAGCGGTTGAAAATATTATTCTTTCGCCCACTGAGTAGTCTTGGCACCTTTTTCAGAAACCAATTGGGGGAGCACCTGTCTGGCTCAATTAGTAGAGCATGTGACTCTTAATCTCAGGGTCGTGAGTTCAAGCCCCACATTGGGTGTAGAGCCCACTTTTAAAATTTTTTTAAAAATCAATTGGCCAGAGATATTGTGGGTTTATTTCTGGACTCTCAGTTCTACTCCAGTGATCTACATTTTTGTCTTTGTGCCACTACCACATTGCCTTAATTACTATAACTCTGTAGTAAGTTGAAATTGGGAAGTGTGAGTCCTCCAACTTTGCTCTTTTTCGAGACTTTTTTTTTTTTTTTTTTTAACTATTCTGGGCCCCTTGCCATTTCCATGTGAATTTTAGGATCAACTTGTCCATTCCTCAAAAAATAGCAATTGGAATTTTGATAGGGATTGCATTAAATCTCTAGATCAGTTTGGAGGCCATCTTAAGTCTTCCAATTCCTGACATGGATGTTTTTCCATTTATTTAGGTCCTCTTTAATTTCTTTCATAGTGTTTTATAGTTTCTTTTGTAGTTTCAATATACAAGTTACCCATTTACCTTATTATATGTATTCCTAAGTAATTTATTATTTTTGATGTTACTGTAAATGGAATTGTTTTCTTAAATTTCATTTTCAGATTGTATCCTGAAACTTTAACTGATGTATCTATCACTTCTAATAGTTTTACTGTGGATTCTTTAGGATTTTCTATATATAAGATCATGCCATCTACAAATAGAAGTAGTTTTACTTTTTCTTTTCCTGTTTGAGTGTCTTTTATCTATTTTTCTTGACTAATGGCCCCTGGCTAGAACTTCCAGTATAGTGTTGAACAGAAGTGGTTAGAACAGACATCCTCCTCTCGTTCCTGACTTGGGGGTGGGGGGGTGGAGCTTGTACTTTTTCACCATAAAGTATGTTAGCTTTGAGTTTCTTGTAGATGCCCTTTATCAAGTTGAGGAAGTTACCTTCTATTCCTAGTTTTTAATCATGAGAGGCCATTGGATTTTACCCAGTGCTTTTTCTGCATCTTTTGAGATAATCACATGGGGTTTTCCCCTACATTTATTCTATTAGTATGCTGTATTACAGTGATTGATCTCCTATGTTGAATCAACCTTGTATTCCTGGGATAAATCCTGCTTGCTGCTCGTGCATAATCCTTTTCATATGCTTTTGGATAGGGTTTGCTAGTATTTTGTGTGTCTGTGTCCTAGATATATTGATATATAGTTTTCTTTCTTTTTTTTTTAAGATTTTATTTATTTAATTGACAGAGAGAGACACAGCGAGAGAGGGAACACAAGCAGCGGGAGTGGGAGAGGGAGAAGCAGGCTTCCCGCGGAGCAGTGAGCCTGATGGCGGGGCTCGCTCCCAGGACGCTGGGATCATGAGCTGAGCTGAAGGCAGACACTCAACGACTGAGCCACCCAGGCACCCCAATATATAGTTTTCTTGTGATGTCTTTGGTTTTGGTAACAGGGTAATACTAGCCCCATAAAGTGATTGGAAAGTTGTAGTAATTTTTATAATCTTTTGGATTATTTTTTTAGGATCGATTCCCAAAAGAAGGCTTGTACATTTTTAAATTACTTGATAAGTATTGCCTGGTCATTTTCCAAAAAGTTAAATCATGTTTATTTGTTTGAGATTAACATTGTCTTTCCAGAATAATGGTCTCTCAGAAATTATTTTTGTTTACTCCTTCAAGTACTTAAAAGATTCTCTGAAAGGCAAAGCTAGGTCCAGCCTTTCACAACACATCTTAATACCTGCCTGGCAGAGCAGCTCCAAAGGAGCCGGGATTCAGCATTTGATCCAGCAAATTGTTAGCACTTCTAGTAAGAATAGAGTTTCTCCACCTGAGCACTATTGCTGGATTAACGCGCAGTGTATTGTGAGATGGTAAGCATCAATGGCTTTTTCTCACTAAATGGCAATAGCAGCCACCACCAGCCTCACCTCCTCCCCACCCCCAAGTTGTGACAAACAAAAATGTCTCCCATCGTTGTCACATGTCTCCTGGTGGATAAAATTGTCCTCATTAAGACACACTGATCTAAAAACTGATACGTGCTGGATTTCCTATTACTATCCAATAAAACTATCTCTAATTTTGAAATCAAAGGCTCACTATATATTTGGCTTTGGATCTACATTTGTCTCAGTCTTTGTCACCATGTGTTGATGACTTTCAAATCTATATCCTTAGCCTTGTTTCCTCTCTGGATTCCCAGAGCTTGTTTACAGTTGCCTGCCTTGGTGTTCTACAGGCATCTTGAGATTGGTTTGTTCAAAATGAGACTGATTCCCTTCTCTCCCCCAAACTGCTCTTTGTCCTTAATCTTGGTCTCCCAGGTCAGGACCCTACCAGTCAGTCACTTACTGGTTCTTCACTTCTCTGTCTCCACTTCTCCCATGAAATTCACCTCCTGAGTGTTTCTAAATTCAGGATCCTCTGTCCCAAGTGTCACTTCCATAGTGGGAAGGTTCATCTCCCCTAGCTTGCTGCAGCAGTCCTTAACTTCCAGCTTATTCTCTCTGCTGCCTGTAAAGTGCCCTTTCCAATGTGTGTGTCTAATCCTGTCAGAGCCCTCATGGGCTGGCCCTGCCTCCCTTTCCAGCTTCAATCCCCCAACCCCTTGTACTTTAGGCTCTGGCCATACCAAACTGCTTGCAGGCCCCTTTCCTCACCCCCTTGCCTGACACTCATTCTTCCAGCTGCAGTTCAGACTCTGTCTCTCCTCCAGCCCTTCCACTCAAAGAATGACTCTCCTCCTTTGCTACACCTGGAGAGACCTGGGTCTTCACTTACGAGGCACTGCAGGAATCGGTTCATTCACGACTGTGTCCCTGGTGATCAGTAAGTGTCTTGATAATGGGAACCACAGTTTATTTATCTCTGCCTGCTCCCCAGGGCCCAGTGGGCCCTCTGTAAATCTGTGTTGAATAGCAAATGAAAATGCCTAGAGCAGAAAGGGGCTACCTGGGATTTTAAAGTAGCTGTGGGGTTGTTTGGGTTTTTTTGTTTAGTTCAGTGAACATTTACTGAGAACCAACTAGGTCATGGGTATTAGGAACAGAAGGAACAAGGCAAGATCTTTGCTTAGAGAATTTACATTACACCTAATATGAGATGGGAGTACAGAGTTTAGTACAGAGTGATAAGGGCAAGCATAATGCATAAAGTGGATACTGAGAGTGAACTATGTCTGCATTAGGGGGAGACACTCTCCCCACCCCTGAAATAGGCTTAAAAGTACGAAAAGGTATCATTTCATCCCACTCTAACCCTTTCTGTGTTCAGTCAACTTCTGTTTATCGTGACTTTTTTAAATGACTTTGGCTTGATCATGCTTATTAAATCAGTTAATGTCGTCAGCCTCTCCTTGTGTTGCAGTACCTGATCCTGTGCTTGTGTGAGTTTGTGGTTTAGAAATGTTCCAAAATCAGCAGTCACTAGTTATTTCATTATTTACTATGTCCTTGATTTTGCGCCCCTCTTTTTGAGGATAATGGTGCAGGCGTACCATGCTCCTGCCTCCTGATCTGAAGCCTTTGACTTACCATTATATGTGTTCTTCACTGTAGTCCTGCATTATTTCATAATTAAAGCAAACTGGAGTCCTGTGTACAGAATGTGCAATCTAGAGAAATTTTTATCTTTTTATAGAGTTGCTAATAATAATCTTTAGGTCAATATGGCTTCTTTTTCTTACCAGTTTTCTTAACACTGGCCCTATTTCCCTTCCTCTGCATAGTGCCTCTTAGCTTGTAACTTAACTAGTTAGTAAATACAACTTTATTCGTAAATAAAGATTAAGGTAATTGATCCTTAGGGAGACCCGTGCATGTGGTGTCCAGGAGCCATGAAATGGGTTGCTTAGGAAAGTGAATAAAGTTATTATACTATTGGACAGGGGTGAGGGCAGCAGTGGTATTTACAGAGAAGGGAAATATGGATAGGTACAAGAGCACACAGGGAACTAGGGAGAGATTCTGGGCTCTGAACCTGCTGAGTCTGCTGTCGCTGTGGAAGGAGGAGTGGCGGTAGAAGACGTTGATGCCCTGCCCAGGACGGACGCTAGGCGTTGGAGATGAACCTGTGTCGGCAGGTGAGATGGTATATGTATGAAAGAAGAGGATCTAGGACAGAACAGTAGAAAACAGATAACAGGGCAGGTGACCCAAGAGAAAGCTATTCCAGAAGCCAAAGGAAGAGGGAAGCTTTGTGGCATCACATGTTTTAGGAATGAGGGCTAGATAAAGAGAGATCACTAACTTTGGCAGGTAGGGGGATCATTAGTTAAACCCCTCACAAGAGCATTTGAGCAGAAAGGCGACGGAGGAGCCCTGACTGCAGTGGGTTGAGGAGTGACTGGGAAACAAGCAGTGGGATGTGTGCACATAGACCACATGCTCAGGGTATCCTCTTCTGTTTGGGTCAGAGATGAAGCACATACAAATGAAAACCCTGAGCGTGTCCATAGGTGAGGTAAGGACAGGGGAAGTTGGTTAAACATACGGGAAAGATATCTGTAGGGCCTGAGAAGGAATGAGAGCAATGACCAGGTGGGACGGGTTTGCCAGGAAAAGGCACAAGGACACCCGTTTCTCCAAGATAAGCGGGAAGAGCACTGGAAATATTAAAGGCAGGTATTTGCAGAAGGGAAGCGAGGGAAGTTGGGAGTATTCATACCTGGCAACATCTCTCTTCTCTGTGAGGTAGGGAGCTCTGCCAGCAGGGAAGGAGGACTGGAAGAAAGCGGAAAGGGGTATGTTGGGACAGGGTTAACACCCTGAGCTGTCAGGAGTGACGCAGACTAGGAATAACTAAAGTCATTTAATTCATCAGGGGATGAAAATAAGACATTTCTCATAGCTCCACCTCAGCACAGCTACATGCTTTTCTTCAGTGGTGCTTATTAATTCTGGCACAGGACTGGAGAGTGTCTGGTGCAAGTAGTCCAGGTTGTGGAAGTGCCCCGTGGGGGAGGCAGACTAACTGTCTGAAGCAAGCAAACTGAGGACTTGGTTACAGAATTCGCAAAATGTTGGGGTAAGTACTGGACCGGGAGTCCAGACTTCTGGTGCTCTGATGCCAACAGGCATTCCCCACTCAGAAGGAGAAGTTGGGAAATAAAGGCAAATAGTTTTCTCATCTATTCTTGGGTTTCATTCAGCCCTAGAAATGTTTCTCTAATTTTGTTATGGCATTTGAATGTAGTTTTAAAGTATATTCAGTAAAAAATAAAAGCACATTCAGTAAGATGTCATCACTGTCTCCTGTGAGTGGGGGAAAAAAATCAGTCATTGGGAAGGCATGGAACTCACAGCAGCTGGTCCATGTACCATTTTGGTCTGTTTAAGAACTCTTAATGTGATTCCCAATGTTGAAACTGGCAGTTAAGTGATAGATTCAGGCTATACAAGATAAGACTTGAAAAAGCCACCTGAAATATTATGGCAATATCAGTAAGAAGTGTTTTTTTCTCATTCCTTACTTAAGAAAAAAAAAAAATGCATGTGCACATCTGTCCCTTTAACAGCTTGCTTCGGGAAGCTAAAACCTTTATAAAGCACGTTGAGAAGTCCTACACACGGGCCCTTGTTTAACTGTGTTCACAGTTTTCCCTGCTCAGTGCTGGAATTGTGTAGGAGAAAGTGCTCACTGTCAACTATTCTCTATGAATAGGGATGTGTGTGGATTGAAAGAAAAATTATATGCTCTGGTATTATCTGGTAAAGAAAAGAAAGAAGAATAACCTGAGAGTTCTCATTGCCAGCTTCAGCTGTCTTCTAAAGTACTTGTGAGACTCTGTCATCACCTCACACAGTGACCCAAGGAAGCAGAGGTCGGCAGATTGGCAGGCCAGGTGTCAACTGTGAGGTAAGAACTGCAGCTGGAGAAGTGGCTCCAGAAGCCTGGGGTCTCATCGCTGTCTCCACCTGGAGGCAGCCCTTACAGGTGAGGCATGGTGTGGTGGCTCTGGTGAGAACCCAGGTCGGGCCATCCCCTTGCCTAGCTCTGAGCATGAGGGAGCTGTCAAGCAGACAGAAAAGCACGTGCATGCGCGTGCGCCCACACACACATTTGCATGTGAACTTGCTTTTTTTTCTCTTTTAGGAGAAGAAATGCACAAAAACAGCTGGCAGAATAGAAGACATGGGAGAAGGAGCAACCAGCAGAACCCTCGGTTCAGACAACAGGGTTCTGATGAGAGGCAAGTGCTGCTACCCAGGACCACTCGAGCCCTGTGGTGGCCCTTCAGGTGCGCGGTGGCCTCAGGTGCGCGAGTCACCAGGGCTGTCACCGCAACGCAGGGTCTGAGGGGGGCGGCTGCTGCTGCAAGTCAGCCCGCCTGCCGCACTTGGAGTAGTGAGGAGATATGGCCACGCTCTTTCTCTTCAGAGTGACCATGACCTCTGGCCAGAGCATTAGCCAGAGGCTTAGAAGTAGACAGTGTCAGATAGAACTGGAAAGCTATTTTTCTAGTTTGTACACTTTTTCTGTCTCTCTCCCCCTTTTTTCCCAGCCAATGAAAATAGCTTCCTGGAGACCTAATTTCATTAATTCAACCTAAATCCTTAGAAAGAATAAATATATCATATTGTATTTAATAAACACAAAAGTGTATACAGAATAATACAGTGAACATCATGTACCCACTGCCTTGCTTAGAAAGTAAAACCTAGTCTATACTGAGTCGAAGTCCCCAGAGCAAACATTTTCCACTTTCAACTTACTGTTCTTATGGCCAGAAGTCCTATTGGCCCTGGACTGTGAGGAAGTGTCCTCTCCTGGTGTGCGCAGGGTACCTTGTGCTGAGACTAGATTGTATTTCCTTCATGCAAAAGTCTTTGCACCAGAAGAGGCCCACATGCCAATTTCAAAACTCTTCCACGCTTCAGACCTCCTCCTAAAATGGACAGATTTCTAGGTACAGGGTCAGAAGATGACAAATACCAAGATGCTTCTCTAGAACAGGTGAACCTAAACAGTAACAAAAACCAGCCAAATGTTGTGGAAAGAATGGGGCTTCAGAATTAGGAGGTCCAGATTTGACATTCTGCCTTCTCCTATATGAATTTGGGCAAGTTAATCACTGTGAGTCACTCTTATACAAAAGAGAGCTAATACTTACGAGGTTTGCAATACTGCATGGAGAGCCTCTGATGGGCTGCTTGGCTCTGAGTAGGCCCTTCATACATGGTGGGCCTCATTAGGGGCAGAATAAAATCTGTTACTCTAAGCCAGAGTCGCAGATTTGACCCATATTGTAGAACGATCAGGACAGTGCCCAATGTTTGTGTGTTTTGTAAGGAGAACCATGGATATTTTTTGGGCCCCAGGCCTTCCCACAAGAGTACAATGTGTAGCAAAATGTGATCTGTGCAAGAAGAGAGTCTCAACTCTGCTTTGGCAGAGTCATGTGGAAACACGCTGGGCAGCCACCTTCTGGGCTCTGTGTGGAAAGAATGGAGCAGCAGTCCTTGGACTAGAAATGTAGACATTTGTTGTGACACTTAATCCTTCCTCCTCTTGCTGCTGATTACACATGAGCTGCCTCAGAAAGCTCTAGGCCATAAAAAGGGAGAATAAATAATTTTCTCTGAAACTGTACGGTTAGTATTTACAGACAAAAGAGAAAGTTCTTTCATTCCTTCAGCATACTTATTCAATTTGTATTCCTTTGGGGGGATGGGGAGGAAGTTCTTGATTTTAAAGCACATTTTGTCAGGATTCTAAAATTAGGTGTTTTGCTCTGTCATTATATCCTTCAGCCTGTAATTGCCACAGAAGCTGCTTGTAGCTTTGCAAATCAAGTGTTTAAACCATGGCTCTATCCCAGTATTAACTGAGCAAATCACCTCTGTGCCCTGAACCCCAGTTTCTCCATCTGTAAGGTGGTATGCCCAAGTAAAATTTAAACCCTTTGTATTGCTAAATCCAGTAAAGAATAAAATGCGCCTGACCTTGTAACTGTTGTTGAACTGACAAATGAGCCCAGCTGGTAATATTCTTACTGGCAAAGATTATTCCTCTTTTCATCTGGAAATTTCAAAAAGACCTTACAAAATGCTCAAGTGAGGAGATAAGGAAAGGGACTCACTGTGACACACATCCTGTTAAGGATGAGGAACCAAAACCTTGTCCTAACTTTTGTATATTTGAAGTAGGTAAACCGCCTTCAAGGAGAAGGGAGAGGTCAGGGCTCCCCAGGTAGCCAGAAGGGTCAGAGGGCTGGGGTGAAGGCCATGGAACTGCCTGAACTGACCCCTGTAGGGCCCTACGGTCACAGAATGACTAGGACTCCAGCCGTTCACTGTGAGTTACTATGACTGTGTGTCAACAGGGGTAACTCAGTGACACGGCAAAGCTCACGAGATTCTGGCCAAGTCGGCGATGACGAGGCCCCATCGACCTCATCCGGCACAGCGGGGAGTTCTTCCGTGCCAGGTGAGGCCGTCTGTTGGACAGTAGACCTCCTGTGGCCCTGCCTGTGGGGAAAGATGAAACCTCGTCCCGTCTCATCATCTGGTTACATCTGCTTGGGCTGCCCTTCTTAGCCCTGTGTGTCTTCGCTTGCGTGTGGGTACACTCCATGTGGGTCACGAGCCCTTTCCTGGCTTGGAGGAAATTCTGGAGCAAATTGAAACACTAAACACCCTGGCTGTGTCAGGAATGGGGATCCTGAGGCATACGGCTCCCCCCATGGACACAGGATGGTGACTAACAACGTTAGCCCACTTCCTGCCCCTCAGAACAGACAGACATCTGTGGGGTGGGGTGGACAGGCCCCTGGGATCCTTCAGAGGTGGGTCCGTGCAGTGTTCTAAGTTGAAATGGATTTCATTTCTTTTGACTAAAGATCTGCCAGGGTATTACTTTGACCCTGAAAAGAAACGATACTTCCGCTTGCTCCCTGGACATAACAACTGCAACCCCCTCACAAAGGAGGGCATCCGGCAGAAGGAGATGGAAAGCAAAAGGCTGCAGCTGCTGGAGGAAGAAGACAAGCAGAAAAAGGTGGGCTCCGCACTCCTGGTGGCCACCCTGTCCCCTCCGCTGGTGATGGGAGGTGCCGATTAGATGCCCCTTAGCATGGTGCACTTGAGGGAATGTGGCATCGAGCTCCCCGCATAGGGATCTGATGAAGAGATTCTGATGAGAACAGGCAAGAAATCTCCCACCGCCCCTTTTCTTACCTTCGAAGTTTCATCAGTGATTCTTACATCTTGTCCTTCCCCAGAGGAATCTTGGGAATTGGTATGATAGAGTTTCAGTAACTGTATATCTTAAATAGAAAACCAAGGTGTGTGGATATGAGGATTTCCTGCATCCCTTCTGGGGATTAAATGCCAGGACCTTTCAGTGGTTTATGGGGGCTCTGGGGTCACCCCAAGGCGAACAGAAAGCATGGTGAAGACCCGAGTGACCAGTGCGGTTCTTGTGCTCACTAGTGGGGTGGCTTCATCTCTTCACCTGGCTCCCCAGGTAAATTGATGGGGCGCTTAGACATGGGCACCAGGCCAACTTTCCAGCTCACATGTGCTTTCTTGTGACGGACTTTTCCTCTTGCCAAGGAGAGGAGACCGTCAGATCTCTATACATATAATTTCTGCCAACTTAGTACACCTGCTTCTTTATTAGATCCTATGAAACTAGAAACATTCTCCATTATCTCATAACCTAAAACTTCACTGAATCTTTTTGGTTTTATTTAGAAAATAGCCAGAATGGGCTTTAATGCATCTTCATTGCTACAGAAAAGCAAGCTCGGTTTTCTCAATGTCACCAGTTACTGCCGGTAAGACAAAGCCTCGTTAAGCTTTTTCATGAATGTTCTTTTCCTGTTTCTTATTTCCATGGTCCAAGAAGCCAGTCAGGATAGAGCACATAACCACTCTGAGGAGTCCTCACAGTTGCGGGTGGGGGTGGGGGGAGAAGCATAGCCTCCCTTCTGCTAAAACCAGCCCTGAGAAAATCATTTCCCTTTAGAGCAAGGGAAAAGTCTCCTGCAGGAGGCCACAGACGGAGAAGGGATCTAGGCAAAGAAACTCAGCAGAAATTTCTCAAGACATTTTCTCAGTATTACTCGAAATCATTGTCATTGTAATGAAGGTCCTACAACTTCATTCCCATGAGATTTCTACCTCCTCCCCTTCCAATCAGTTGTCACCCAAAAGAAAGCATTAAAGGGATGTATGTGTACTAAACTTCATATACTTGTGATGACTGATATTCTAACTAAAACCCTGGGAGCTAGGTTGGTACTTCCCCCAGTTTTCAGAAGAGACTGAGGCTCAGAATGGAGCGATTGGCTCAGGGTAAAGCTAGAAAGGGCGGGATCCGTCTGACTCCAGTGCCTGAGCTCCTGAGCCCTGAGTTCTGCTGCCTCCTGCTGTGCATGGGCTGGTGAAGAAACATCATAGGGGGCACAGCACTTATCTTAGAGCAGGGCCCCCTTCAGGGAAGGCCAGCCATGCAAGGGTTACCCGCCAGAGTAGGTAGGGCAGGTCTCTCCTGTTATTCCCCTCTTCAGAAGGAAAGGAGTTAAGGTCTAGTTAGATCTCTTTTCACCTTAAAACCTGCTTTGTTCTTAGTGGGGTGGTGGCCGTGATATGGAGAGGGAAGGGTCTCCATACCTGGTTCTTACTAACTGGGCTCTCCTTCGGCATTGCTGTTTCGTTTCTCAGGCACATTCTTTTCATCTCAAGAAAGAGTTGTACTAGATGATCCAAAAACAAATTTGTCTAGTTCTAACTTTCTTTGACCCTGTGGATGGGTCCCCCATTTCTTGGCCTTAGTTTTCCTAAGAGGTCTATAATTGAGATGATTTGGGATCCTGCTCAGCTCCCTTGCTGAGAATTACTTGGGAGGAGAGTCGGCTGACTAGGGGAGGTGGTCTCCAGGGTGTGGGCCAGGGCAGAGCCTCGGAGTCTGCTTCATGGGTGTCTAGGCACAGTGTCCATGCCCTCCCTGCCCCTCTTTCCCTCTGCAGTTTAGCTCATGAGCTGCGAGTGAGCTGCATGCAGAGGAAAAAGGTCCAGATTCAGAGCTCGGATCCCTCCGCTTTGGCAAGCGACCGATTTAACCTCATACTGGTGAGTGGGAGGGAGCTCCCTGTGGGTGCCAGAGGTATAGCTTTTATCCCCTGACACTGTGTGGCTTAACCTTGGCTTTCATTAAGGCTAATTATGTGGCAGCCAGTGCCATGAAAGCAGGCAGTATCCCCGTGGTTTTACGGTTCTAATGTGTGCCTGCTGGCTACCCGCAAGCAGGTGCTGAGCTGGCAGGGTAGGCCGTGTGCTGACCATGCTCACCCCCACTACAGCTCTGTCATTCGATCTGAGAGCCTGGGCCCACCACACATTGACTGAGAACTATCACAAAGTAATTTTCCCTTGGGTGTGTTGGGTACAGACTAAAAGATATGCAGTGGACTAGGGGCTTCTAATCCTTCCTATACTGGAGCATTATCTGGTGGCCACACCTGAAGCTCCAGTGTCCTTCAGAAGCAACCATGTGTTTCTCCCTTGCTCGCTGGCTCTGACCTGAGCAGCAGGGGCCCACAGGCCTGGACTTCTGGGCCTGCACATCTGGCACACCTTTATCATATCATTTACAGGGAGCAGAGAGTCTTCTCTTCATTAGGTTAGACCTGGGCTGGAAGCCAAGGCCAAAGCCAGAGCCAACTGCTTGAACCCAGGGTTCAGAGAAATGTTGGCAGAGGACCCCATAGTCCACCAAGTTAGACTAGAAGCTCGAGGTTACAGGAGATCGTGGCCTGCCCTGCAAGCCCTGTCCTTCCTGGAGGCTGGGGGAAGGCTAAGGAGAATGAGAGAAGGATCCAGACTGGATCCTGCTGGACAGGACTAGAATCCGAAGCCACAGAGCTGACCCTTGAGGTCTTGCCCCAGGAGACCTCAACCGGAGAACCCTTAACATAAGGGGTATTCCAGGACTCACATTCTCTCCCGTGGCTTTACTCCCCCAAGGGCCTGGGGGTACGATTTGACCTGAAGCAGAATATTTTCTTGCAGTTCATTCTCCTCAGGAGCCCCTTCCCTGGGGTTCCTCGGTAAAACTGGGTAGGGATGCACATGCTGCTCAGTATGGCCCGAGCCCCCAGTCTTCGTGCTTCACCTCACACAGGCCTTGAGCTGGCTCGGAGACCTTCCTAGTCACCCGGAGTTAAGAGTCGAGCTGATTGGCTAGCTTTGTGGACTGGAGTTTTGGGAAGGGTGCTTTGCCACCCAGAGATCTGTTTTTCCAGTCTGATTCTAGTCACTGTAATGATTCTTCAGGAAACGTGCTTTCTGAGTAAACTTGCAAAGTGAATACATTTTCACCAGCATCCAAACCCATGTATGTGTATATAAATATATATAAAACACATACAGGGTTTTTGTTTTGAAGTAACTAGTAATCACATTTTTTAAGTGAGGAAAAAAAACCCGACATCCCAATGCAGTCTCTTCTGTTGTAATTTTTTTTTCAGTGCAGTGAGCTTGCTTTTTTTTTTTTTTACTTGGTGGGGAGAAAAGTGCCTGTGTAATGGGAATCCAATCTTGTCTCCTCCTTTCACCCCTTCACAGGGGTACAACTAGCATTTTCCACATTGTGTATGGCTTTCGTGATGGCTACATGTCACCATGTGGCCCATCTAAACAGTTCACCTGGGTGGACACTGGGACTCTTCCAAACCCAATTCTGAGTGGAGTCGCTGTACAGACCTCAGACTTCCTGACAGCGCTCCCTCACTGCCCTTAGCCCTGCTCCTGCTTATGAGACCACATAGCTGTCAGCCTTGCTGGGTGACAGCTGGGCTGAGTAGGGGCAAGTTAGGTGACCTCCATGCTCTATCCTCCCTCGTGGGTGGGCGCACTCACATGAAAATGCACAGAGCATGGGATCCTAGAGAGATGGGCAGATGGTCTTGGGCAGCTCAGCTCGCCTGGCTCAGCCAGGGAGGTGACCTGTAGTCTCTTTTCCCTCCAGGCAGATACCAACAGTGATCGGCTCTTCACAGTGAATGATGTCAAAGTCGGAGGCTCCAAGTATGGCGTCATCAGCCTGCGAGGTCTGAAGGCCCCCTCACTCAAGGTGCATATGCACGAAAACCTCTACTTCACCAACCGGAAGGTACATTGCCTTTCCCATTAATTAGCCTTGCAGCCCCCTTTGCACTTTGGATCCAAGGGCCCTGCTGTAGTTGGCCCAATTCAGAGGAGAGGAGAGAACTTCGTGAAGAAGGGGGGCTGGAGTACCTATTTTCCCCAGGGAAAATGGGGTCGTAGCTCTTGAGAACCCGTAGGGGAAGAAAAGGGCCTCAGGAGTTTCTTTTCTTGGAAGAGAAATAACTGTCAATAGTTGGGAGAAGGCGTGAAACTTCTTAAGGCTTGAAAGGCTTCTTTAACCGGTGGGACAGACCTTCTTTCCAGGAGGATTGAAGTGACCCAAAGGAGCCCTTGCCAAGCACAGGGTTCCTGGGCTGGGGGCTGAGGTAGCTTGAGCGGGGAGTCCTCTGGTGCATCAGTCACTCAGCCAGTCTGTGACCTACACAGAGGTTAAATAAATATAACACAGCACAGCTTGCTGTCTAGGGAGCAACCTTTAAATTCCACGGGGGTGATGACTGCATGTGTAAGAAGCAGTGACATTCTGTTCATTTGGGACCTGAGCCACAAGATGGATACAGGTTGAAAATGGTTTCGGTTGAAGTGAGAGTACAGTATGCCTTTCAGAGTTAGGTTTGTCCCCTGCTATTGCAGAGACTCCATCCCCAAACCAGAGAGTATACCAGAGGTCTCACTGCGAGGTCCATGCTAATGACAGAGGACCAAAGTCTGGAGGTTTCTTCCTCCCTGTTCCTCTCAAGGCCCTCCATGGTGGAGCAGGGGAGACTTGCCTGTTCTGGAGCCTGTTCCAGCCCCTTTAAAAGGAGTGAGAGCTGAAGAAAGAAGTCCGTGTCTGTATCCCCATTAGTTATTCCATAGGAAAGCATTTGTCTGTTTCTCTCCGCAAGTGGGTAAACCATTCTTGCTGTGTGCTTCCTCACCAGGTAAACTCTGTGTGCTGGGCCTCGCTGAATCACCTGGATTCCCACATTCTGTATCTTTTGGCAGATGAAGAGGTTTGGTGGGCAGGCCATGCCCTGGTGTGGAGCTGGGCATCTGTGCGGTTTGTGAGGTGGCATCTTAGTGGCCAGAGGTCTGCCCCATTTTGTATGCACATCTCACCCTTTAGGAAAGAATAGTGCAGCTCGGTAGAGGATGAGGATTGCCATGGAGCAATAGCGGAGTTCCCAGAGTGACATTGATGTCACTGTGTGCTGGATACTGTTAGGACCGGTAAAGCCTTAGGCAGGAACCCCACATCCTCCCGAGGTGAAGGAGGAGGAGCTCAGAGCTACAGTGGTTTGAGGGTGGGCCAGGCCTCTTGTGGGGGGAGGCTGAGGGCGGGCTTCAGTAAAGGGGAGAGGGGAATCCTTTGGTGTTGGACATGAGTGTGTGGGCTCTGTGCCTAGGGTCCCTGTCAGAGACAGCCTCTTTCTTTCTTTCTTTCTTTTTTTTTTAATTTTATGTATTTATTAGAGAGGAGAGGGCATGAGCGGGGGTTGGGGGGACAGAGGCAGAAGGAGAAGCAGACTCCCGGCTGAGCAGGGAGCCCGATGTGGGGCTCGATCCCAGGACCCCAGGATCATGACCTGAGTCGAAGGCAGACGCTTAACCGACTGAGCCCCCCAGGCGCCCCCAGAGACAGCCTTCTTTAGAGCTCTCTTCATTCTAGTCTCTGCCCTCTCAGAGAACAATCAGGGCTCTTTTACTAAAAGCACAGAAGTACAGTGTCAGCTGTCTGGACCCTTCCTCTGGAATCCCTGGAGGCTTTTGATGGACAAGACAGCGGTCTGTCCTGTGCTTCTGGGAGTAATACGGTTTGAGCCAAAGCCACATGTGCATGACTCTGGTCCATGGTTTGAGTTCTTAAAACTCTGACCACTCACTGTACCTAGTACCTACTTCGGGAGTTGTCCCGGGGCTAACATTATTTAACATCTGTGAATGCACCTTGAGCACAGTGCTTGGCACATCACGGGTCCTCCGCACGTGATGGCTGAATCGGAACCAGTTGGGGTTTTTTTAATTTGTTCCACGGCACTCTATTTTTAAAAGCCTAAAGTACATTAGAGATCTGGTTATAAATTTTATGTAAGACAAACACAAAACTGTGTGGCCTGTAAATTGAAAGGCTTTCATTTGATGGGATTCTGGGGGGGGGGTAGGACCACCTGTTACTGGGATCGTACCAGAGGACAGAAGAGACCAGATCTTAAAGGAGAGAAAACAAGAACCTTGCTTTCATTTCTGATCTTAAAACAGGATGACATTTTCCCAGCTTTCTCTCCTTACGCTAAAGAGAGAATAAAAATCCGTATAATTGGGTTTAAAGAGTGTGGTCTGTGGTAGCTTCTTCAGCCACTTGCCCTCTGGTGGTCACTTCGGTAATCTTCAGGCTTCTGTGCACCCCCTGCTTCTGCTGAAGGTCATGGAACTTTCTCCCTTTACCAGAATGGCGCCTTGTTGAGCCCGGTACTCTGCATTTCCCCCCACAGAATGGGGAGAGGTTAGGCCGAGGCTGCCCCTCCTGGGCCCTTCAACCCCTGTGGCCTCTGAAAGGACCAACTGATACTGGTCCCATTAGCATCACACGAAGCGTAAGGGTAGTTTGGATCTTAGTCCTAGTAACTAAAAGTGCACCTGGGTAGGGACTCCCTCCCCACATCCTCACCTTCCAAACCCAGAAGCAAAAGGGGTTTCTTTAGGAAGGACTTGGGTTGCCCAGCTGCAGAGTTATCGTTTATAGCTTTGGCAGTCTCTCTAACTAGAGACACTTAACACGGGGCCTGCCATCCAAGGCATCGTGACACATGCACACGTCACACGTTCAGACGACCAGGAATGTTGCCTGATTGCTTTGCAGATGTTTACAGTTTTCAGTGAGGGCTGTGTGTGTCCGTTCCACCAAAGGCCGCCGAGCAGATGCATCCCTATGTGAGTGCTAGAGAGGGCAGCGCAGCAGGTGCTCAGTCTCTGCCGTGATGTCCGAGGGGCACTTGGATGCTAGCGGGATGGAGGGACCGGGGTGGCCTTCCTGGCAGTGACTCCTCCATGGGAAGAAGGGGACGGAGCTCCCAGAGGAAGGAAGTGGCAGGAGGGAGCTTGGCACCTGGGGCAGCGGTAAGTGGTCTAGTAGTATCCGTGAGGTCTCTGGCAAGGTGGGGCACCTGGTGCTGGGATGTTCTGGAGGACTGTGGCCCCGGAGGAGTATCTTATGAGAAGCTGGCAAGGGTGAGACCTCAGATGGGGGGGGGGGGGGCGGCGGGGGCAGCTGCTGCAAGACTGGCGGCAGGGGAGAGGGTGTGGTGGGTGAGCCAGGGGTAGAGGAGAGGCACGAGTCGGAAGAGGCTCAGGATCTAGGCCAGGCGGTGTAGGTGATGGAAGGTCCGGGGGGGGGCCTCCCAGAGGAGGTTCTGGAGGCCACCACCGAGCGTGTTGTTGGAAACAGTGCTGCGTGGCCACAGTCAAGACTGGAAAGTGTCGATCAGCGTGAACAACAGAGTCCCTTAGAGACCTCGGGGAGGATATTTAACTGGGAGATGACTGGGTTTCAGTGGGCTGAAGAGTGAAAGGAAGACAAGGGAGTGGGAGAAACACAGACTCCTCTGAGAAAAGTTTGGCTATGAAGAGAGAGGACACAGATCACTTGTAAGACAGCCCAGTAGACATGTGGGTAAGGCCCAGAGAGAGGCGGTTCAAAGAAAAGGAAACCCAAGTAACTGTGATCCGATGCATCAGCACACCCGGTTGTAGTCGGGAAACTGAAGTTAAAATGATGATGTGTCAGTTTATACCTGTTCAGATGAGCACAGATCAGGCTGTTTCCAGACTGCACGGCGTGACCTCCCTCTGTGGGCCGTTACGTCCATTTGTGAACGACATTGTTTTAATGAAGTCGACTAGAAAATAATGAGGCCCATATTTAGTAAGAGCAAATATTTTATGAAACTTTTGTTTCAGTTCTTTGTGTGTATGTAGTGCTTGGTAGCAAAATGAAACTCGCACCGTGGGTTCAAGAAAACACTGCCTTAAAGCAGCCTCCCACACATGGCGTATGAGACAGGGAAACAGGAGGGGATGCTCATCCCAGCAGCAGAGCAAAAAAACCCCAAAACCACGCAAGTGCCCATCAGCGGGAGACGAGACAGATGAGTTGTATATTCATACAAAGGCATGCTCCACTGTGAAAGTGAAGAGATTGGAGCTACAAAATCACCCCAGATGAATCTAGAAGACAGTGGAGATGGAAGAGTTGTAGAAGATGCTCTGTGGAAAGAATAGAGCACGGCACAGAACTCAGAGCAGTGTTAGAATGTGATTCGGGGGGCGCCTGGGTGGCTCAGTCATTAGGCGTCTGCCTTCGGCTCAGGTCATGGTCCCAGGGTCCTGGGATCGAGCCCCGCATCGGGCTCCCTGCTCCACGGGAAGCCTGCTTCTCCCTCTCCCACTTCCCACTCCCTCTGCTTGTCCATTTGTGAGCGGCGTTCCCTCTCTCGCTGTGTCTCTCTCTGTCAAATAAATAAATAAAATCTTTTAAAAAATAAAAATTAAAAATCTGAAACTAAATATGGAATATGGGAACGTGTTAAATCTGGCTCGTGGTGTTACAGTTTCTTGAAGGGTACTGATGCCCAGAGGAGACCCTTGTACTTGACTATCCTTAACAGCTTTTGCAGGCTCTGCCTCATGGGCATCGCAGAGACTCCGGGCTGTGCCACCCTGCTCCCAGCATCGCTGTTCGTCAGTAGTCATCCAGGTACCAGGTCCTTTCCCTTCGGAGGAGGAGGTGCTCTGAGGGCGGTCTCGGTCCCTGCCTCCAGAAGCTGCAGCCCACGACAGTGTAAACTCCATGGCCAAGGCTTGGACAGGAGGGGTGGGAAGCACGGGCTGTGCGAGCCCAAGTCAGCCTGCAGAAGCACTTGTCGGAGAATTCCTGCAACCTAACCCAGGATTCGGACTGCAAGTGCGCACGTCCACATACCCTTCCTTTGGGGTCATTTCAGCAGCCAGAACAGTTAAAAGTACAAGAGATTAAAATATTTATTTGGGCTGCCCGTACAGATGGTGCAGAAAAGCCTGGCACCTGCTGCTGGCATTGCTTGCGATCTGTGTGCCTGAAGGCAGCCGGACTTCTCCTTCCAGGCGGCACTCTGAGTATTAAGTTTTCAGTCTTTCAGAGACTTAGGGACCCATTAGACAAGGGTCAAGGCTCTAAGAGTGCAGGCCTTCAGGCAGACCTGGCACGAATCCCGGCTCTGCCCCTTACCAACGTGAACAGGTTGCTTACCTTCTGTGAAGAGCACACCCACCCCGTCGGGTTACAGGGAGGATTAAATGAGGTGGTGCACACTCAACCTGGTGCCTGACATTTCATCATGAGGCAGGTCTGTGTGGCAGGAGTGTGTGTTACCGCCGTTTTTACAGATGAGGAAGCTGAGGCAAAGAGGTTCAGAGCCCGCCTTACAAAACCGACCAGGGCAGTGGTTCCCTGAGTGGGAAGGTCGTAGCAGGAAGGGGTATCAGGGTTCTGGAATGTTTTGCTGCTTAACCTGAGTGGTGGTCATGTGGTTACATTTACTTTGTGATCACTCGTTGCACTATTTGGGGTGTGTGCCCTTTATGGATTATTAAAAGGCTTATTTTAAAAGTGTTTTGCTTGAGATCACCCATCAAATAGTGTGATGTGGGATTGGAACCCTCTTGTAAAGATGCCACCCTGCCTTCCTGATGGCAGTTAGTCCTAACACTACTGCGAAGTCAGGAAAGATTCATGTGCTCCTTCTCAGAATGGCCCCTTTTGAGCCAGGTACCCCAGCTGAGTGTCTTTTTTGTTCCCATAAAAGCCAGAATGGAGCCAAGGTATAGATCTCTGAACAACCATTCCTGGAGGTTTCCCAGATCGGGCGGTCACTGGCCTGGCAGCACAGAGGGAAGGTCCCTCAAGGGCAGCCACCTTTTATATTCACTGTTGCCCTCAGCAGGAGACCGGCCTGGCATGCTCTGCAGTTTCCGGATCCCTGGGGCCTGGTCCTGTGCATGGTCCCTCAACATTCAGGCGAATAACTGCTTCAGCACAGGTGAGCCGCAGCTGCCCCCACGGGTCCCCAGAGGGACCGTTCATAGGCTTCAAACCCCTGTCCAGACTGTGAGTGATGCTTGTTTCTCTGCCCCCTTTGTCTCTGTCAGGCTTATCTCGGCGGGTCCTAGTGACCAACGTGGTGACAGGACACCGGCAGTCCTTTGGGACCAGCAGTGATGTCTTGGCCCAGCAGTTTGCTCTCATGGTTGGTTGGATTGGGGGAGGAGAGCAAGTAAAGTTTCCCAGGGGTGGAAATTTTGCTGGATTGAAACGATCCCTCTGTGTGGCATCTGGTCGTCTTGCTTTTTCAGGGGAAAAGGCATCAGAAAGGATTAGCGGGTTACTTGGTGATTATATTTGCACTGGATGAAAGTTGGCTGATTCACAATAGCCTGGCTAAATTGGCTTTAAACAGCTTCCTATTTAAATGAATTGTTAGCAATTCTTGAGTACTTGGATTAACCAGCAGGACAAGTAATTTTTTTAATGTATAAATTAAGTCCCAATTCATCATACTTAATAGGTTCATACAGTTTTCAAGTTATGTATTTTATAAATTTAAAAAATCCTACTTCTAGACAATACTACATTTCAAAGACTTGCTCACTGAAAATGCCATCTTTCTTTAAATGTGGAGGAGAGAGTGTGCTGACCTGCTTTCTGCAGCAAGCACAGAGCATGTTATTCAGGCTTCTTCAGCTGTCTGCCCTCTGTTTGGGACTGCAAGCCTTACCTGGATCTCTAATCTCTCTTACCCCATATTCCTCCCCCTGGCTTCTCATAGAGGATCTTGGTGGAGATGAGGCACCATCACTTGAGCTTCACAGAGTGAGGCCTAAGGGGCCAATGCAGCCAGTGGGGAGGACACTGGAAGACACCTGGGGTCCAGTTCTTTTACCCTTTCATAAGGAACCCTTCCAGCTGTACTGAGGCTCAAACCCTGACCACACCATCGCCCACACCGCTAACCCAGGGGCTGGGAGAGGGGAGGCGAGGCAGGAGTTGTATTCTGGAGGGCGCACGCCTCTCAGCCTTAGAGGAGGTGGTACCAACCATTCTCTTTCCATAGGCTCCTTTGCTGTTTAATGGCTGTCGTTCTGGGGAGATCTTTGCCATAGATCTGCGTTGTCGAAATCAGGGCAAGGGCTGGAAGGCCACCCGCCTTTTCCACGACTCAGCAGTGACCTCTGTGCAAATCCTCCAAGAAGAGCAAAACCTGATGGCGTCCGACATGGCGGGAACGGTAGGGGTAGCACTGATGACTCGGGCCACTGGAGCCGCTGGTCTAGAGCTTTGCCAGGTGAAGGGCTCTTCAGCAAAGACCCTCGTGGTGGGGCACGTGGCTGGCTTATTCAGACGAGTGTGTGACTCTTGACCTCAGGGTCATGAGTTTGAGCCCCATGTTGCGTGTAGAGATTACTTTAAAATCAAATCTTTTGAGAGAGCGAGCCTGTGCCAGACAGCGGGGGAAGGGCAGCTGGAGACGAGTTGTGGGCTATGTGTAGGGCAGTTGCTTTCTCCATCTGGGAGCCCAGCCTGGTGTAGACTGACATGAAACTGGTTTTGATGCTTTTGAAATTTAGACTTTCCTCACCCTAAGAGGTTTGGAGACCACCTTGCCCTGCCTGGGTTCACTAGTGTACCTGCCGGACCCTCTCTAATGGCCCCTTGTGCTTTCCACAGATCAAGCTGTGGGACCTGAGGACCACCAAGTGTATAAGGCAGTATGAAGGTCATGTGAATGAGTACGCCTACCTGCCCCTGCACGTGCACGAGGGAGAAGGAATTGTGGTGGCAGGTACCTGGGGAAGGGGGCTCCTTCTGTCCCATCAAATAAAATGGCAGAGGGAGAAGTTACTCCAGATCAGAACCTCGTATGTGGGACTGGGGGCTGCTGGTCAGAGACACTAGATGGGACATAGAACAGCACATTAGTAAGGAGCAGTCAAATGGCCGCCAGTTGGGACGGCCCTTTGTCCTCACGTTAGTGGGAGACCATCACCTCAGTAACAGGCAAATTACATGCAGTAAAACATTGAGAGACTTGGGTGTCCACCCGGTCAGCATTCAGTGTGACCTTTATCCCATCCTGTTTAAAAGCTTAGGCTCCCTGCACTTCGTGCTCACTTTCCAGCCTTGGATGTTAAGAAAAGAAATTAAGGTAAATGTAATGGAACTGGTTCCTGGTCCCCTTAACACCATCCCTGGGGATCCCTACCTGCAGGATAGGAGCAGAGGGGTTGAGCCACTAAACTCCCTTGAAAAGGGCTACAAGTTGATTGCAGATTTTGCTGTTTCTGGGGCAACAGAATATTCTGATAGCATGGAAGTTCAGTGGTTTGACACATGAAATAGCCCTTGACATCAAGGAATATGTTCTTGGTCTTGACATGTCCTCAGATTTGCAGCTGTGCCTCCAGAATGTGCTTGTTCTCTGTGAATCTTCTTTTGTGCCAAAGAAGCATCACTGTAAGAACTTTCTCAAGCTGTTTAGCTTCCTGTTTAAGCCTAGTTTCCACCTCAGAAGAGCTGCTGTGCTCTAGGTAACAGGAAAGAAAGGAGCCCGTTGAGAGGCAGACATGGTGGTGGGCTAGTGCAGTCCTCGATGTGCTGGACAGCCTGAGCCATCACAGCTGAGGGAGTGAAGCGAAGTCCGAGAGACCCTGAGATCTACCCTCCTTTCCTCTGAAGACTCCAGTAGCCTATCTGGGCTGCTGCAGCCGGTGCTTGTTCGGTGCCACATTCCTCACAGCTATGAGCCCCAGAGAGTTACCTGGTCTTAGAAACTGAGCCATTAAACCAGAAACAGCTCTGGTGAGAGTTGTCACCTGGTGTGTCCCCAGGATATACTGAAGGGAAGAGATCTTCCTGGTTACTCTTTCACAAAAAGGAAATCAGTTGCATGTCATCTAGACCAGGGGGCTGGGCTCTCCCTTGAGCAGCCCTTGGCATAAGAGAAGCAGAGTGGCCACCTGTTCGCCAGGATGCCTGGGGACACCAGCCAGTGCATCTTGTCACTTGGAGTACCTGCGACTAGTTGTGATTCTGGAGCACCAGGGAGACCTGTGACTTTGATTTTCAAGTACATATTATCAGCAGAAATAACTTCCATTTGAGTTTGTGTTCTGGCTCCAGTGGAGTCCCTTAGGAATCATGAGAAGCCGTGTCCACATGTATACAAGTGCTCCTGTGTGTTCTAATGTGCCATGTGTCTTCCCTCTTTCTTAGTGGGCCAGGACTGCTACACGAGAATCTGGAGCTTCCATGACGCCTGCCTGCTCAGAACCATACCCTCCCCACACCCCACCTCCAAGGCTGACATCCCCAGTGTGGCCTTCTCTTCTCGGCTTGGGGGTTTCCGGGGAGCCCCAGGGCTGCTCATGGCTGTCCAGCAGGACCTTTACTGTTTCTCCTACACCTAATTCCACAGGGTACAGCCTGGAGGGATGTGGATTTGACGTAAGGGAGTAAGGAGCAGCCAGACTTCTGCCACAACTGCTGTTTCCACTGAGGGCATTTTAAATGGACGCTCTGTGTATACAGATCCCATCCATCCAGCTGCCGGGAAGTAGGTGCTGTGTGGAGCACAGTGGAGACACTTCAGTAAAGTTCTTTCAGTTAAGTTGTGAGCTCAGAGAGCTCAAAAGTCCTTTTCATAAAAGGTACTTATTTCCTTGTTAAATTCCTTAGAATAGTCTGTGGCCTCCCCCCCCCCTTTTTTTTTTTGAAACAAGAAATACTTTTCTAAGGGCTGAGGATTGGCAGTAACTAAATTAAAGCTGGTGCTTTCACCAAAAGCCCTTTTAAGAAGCTTAATGAGATTGGGTGAGGCTGTTAGTGCAGTCAGTGCCTGGGTCCCAGAAAGCTGTGCCCGTGGGCTGGAGAAAGCCAGCTGGGGAGACAGGGAAGGCACAGGGGGAGGGGGGGTCGTTTCTCTGAGTCTCTAGAGATAAAGATTGAAGGCTGGATTTTGGAGTCATTAAAAAGCCTTCTCAGGCTTATTCAGCATCCATAGCAGACCTTGCTTTCTCCTTTTACCACCATTCATAGGCATTGAAAGGAAAGACGGATCTTTCTAGATGCTAGAGGTTTTAAACAGGTCCTAGCAGGCCTTTGTTGAGGTGCCTTCCAGAATGTTAGGTATAACAGCTCCTGTTTCTATTATGGTGACTTGAATGTCAGATTTAAGGGCCCCATCTCAAAGAAAATTGGCTTTGACTTTTTGCAATCTAGAAGCACTTTGTGAGATGTTTATACAGCGTTCAAGAACCTGTCTTTCTACCAAACAATAAACTAGAAAGAACCATGCATGTTTTGTCGCTTCTGTTAACGATTTAGAAGATCATGATTGATGGCTTGTCCGCTATAGCAACGAACCAGCTGCAGTAACGTCTACTCAGATCGTGGGTACGGGGTATAGACAGACCGGCTTTAATGGCTTCGCTAGAGAGCTTTCACCTGGCCCTCCAGACCCGCCGTGCCCTTTCCCGCCTGCTCTGTGCATGCCCCAAGAAGCTGACTGTAGGGACTACAACGGTGAGCTCCCTGGTCCCCCCTCTGGCTGGGCTGTGGGGGGCTGTGGCTGTGTCCCTCCACCCAAGGCCGCAGCCCCTGTTGGAATAGCGCACTCTCTGGGTTCCAGCAGCTTCTCCATTCGTCCCTGCAGATTTCCTCGTAACTGCACCTCACTGTTGTTAGCCCAGGAACTTTGCCAGTTAAACTCTTTAGTTACTCCCTTGAGTGGTAGTTAATTCTGTTTCCTGCCAGAACCCTAGTACAAGAACCAAATCCAAAAACAAAAATAATGAGACCATCAGATTGGTCATCTGATAGATGAGCTACATGTTATAGCAAATATTTTTAGTGCCTCACATTTTATAAAGAACTTTCCCCCATCTTACTTGATCCTTCTAACAACCCATAAAGGTGGCACAGCTGGAATAATGTAAAAATTATTAGCATCCCTTTACAGGTGGGGAAATCTGGGCACAGAGACACTGACTTGCTCAGATCTCAGGCCTGTTCAGCGGAGAAACTTGAGACCACATTCCCTGCTGCTCAGGCTCCTCCAGTCGCTGATGACACTCATGTTATCACGGCAAGTGCTGTGGAGAAATCAGGAAGTGGCCTGGTGCCAGTGCACGTGTGTAGCGCTAACAGCCCATGATCTTGAAATCACCAGGTAAATGCACTTTTCTGGTCCTCAGCAATGGTAAGATTCGTAGGTGTTTAGTCATTTAGATTTGGCCCCTGTATATCTGCAACCCTGGCATACTGACCTGCACAGAGGTCTCAGGAAACACCTACATAACTGAAGGGTCCAGGTGGCCACTGTCACTGCAGAGTCTTGGATCAACTTTGGTGGTGTGTCCCTGCCCCACACACAAGCAGAACTGCTGAGCCATGAACACTCACTTTTGTCCCCACAAGTTCTAGGTTATCACAATATATAAGTTCATTACAGGACCTGCAATTTAAAATTGCTGGTACTGGCCATCTAACGCAGTTTCCCCCACAGTTCTGTATTGTTCCTATGGAGCTGAGAGCCCATGGGTGGCTACCCTGTCCAACTTTGATCCCTCCCCAAGCAGTGGAGACAACAGGACTACTCAGGAGAATAGTGGTGAGTTCTGACATGATGGCCCTGTCCCCATATTCCTTCTAAACAACACCTGTGTCCTGGCCCAAGTTCCTTGTTAGGCAGACACAGTTGTCAAAGAATCGTTTTCGATTTCCCCTAGGCTTTTTAAAAAGAAGGGAGGGAGTGGTTCTTTAAAAATTCTACACTTAGCAAATCTGTTCTCGATCTCTGGTTAGCAATCACTTCTAACATCTGGTATAGGTTGTATGAAAAGTCAAACTTAGCTAAGAAATTAAACATTATGGTCTGTTTGCTTGTTAACATAATGTCCCACAGTCTGGATGAAGTATTTTTTTTCTCTTCACCTGCACATCTATTAGGGCATTTTGCCCTGTTCCCCGGTGACAAGAGGTGGAGATGACCAGGCGATGGGATGCAGCCCCACGCTGTGATGATACATGGTGCTTGCTGGTGTGTCGCCCTGTAAGCGGCCGAGAGGACGGCGGCTCTGCTTAGCGGTGGGGATCATAAATGCCCACAAGATAAACACTTGCTTCACACCATCCTGCTGTGTAGCCACCTTAGAATTCAGCCAGCCTGATGTGCTCGGGAGGGCGGACAGCCTCCTTGGTGTCCCCCAGTGGGTCCCCAGAAGTGTCCTTTAGACCAAGTTAGCCCCACTTACCTGTTAGCCCTAGATCTGTCCTGGCCGAAATTTTCCACAACCATCTCTGAAAACAACTGCAGGCCAAACTCGGTCTCCCCTTCATTCTGTGCATGCTGCTGCGTCTGGGCCCTTTCCTGTCTGCCTCTCCAAGCTACCCACTGCGTGGCCCCTGCCACGGGAGTGATCTTCCTGGGTCCCTGCGTTCAGTGGCTTCTTGTGCCTCAGAATGTGTGGCCTCAAGATTGGGTCATGTGCACCTTGCCCCTTTTGCCCCATCTCCACCTCCTGCCTGGTCTCAGGACACAAATGTTTCAAGATTCTCCCTCACCTGGGCCTCTGAGCAAGCCAGACTCCCCTCCTTTCCATCTGTCAAAGTCCCACTGTTAAGTCTCAGAAAGCTTAGCTTTGCCAGCATCATCGCCTTTTCATTACAATCCTTTGAAGTAGGTGACAGTCACTCCAATATACTGAAGAAAAAAAAGCGACTGGCCCAGGTCTTCTAATAAGTGGAAGAGCCAGAAGCGTCTCCCGCTCAACTCTGAGATCTCTTCGGCCCCTTGGGCTTGACAGAATGGGACTTTTTATTTAACCCTGGAAGTTTAAGGTCTGGGTTCAGTTCAACCTAATTCTCCCTTCTGTCCTCCTTCCTCAAGACCAGCCATCTCTGTCCCCCCCCCAATGACCCCTTGGCCGGGTTGCCTGTCTCTTGTTCCATCTCTTGTTTTTTCCCTCCCCCCCCCCCCCCGCTTGCACTCTTGGCTTCATCTGAATTAAGAGCAGCTATAGCAAAAAGGACTTTCTCTGCAGAAGCCACAATCCGAGCAAAGGCACCCAGATATAAATGCTGCCAATAGCCCAGGGCTGCCTAAACTGAGGTGACATGGTGTCTGGGAAATGGAAGCGAGATGTCTAGGGCTGGAGGAGCCAGAGCCTCGAGAGTGATTCAGGCTGGAGTTAAGGATAAGGTGGCAGCTGAAACCACAGCAGTGGATGAAGTCACCCAGTATTGGCATTATGGGCTGGTGGACTCTGCCAAATTCCACCAGACCCAGAAAGACATGCTGTGGTCTATAAGTGGCAGTTTCAAAGATGGCGTCGGTCATACGAGCATATCCCTAAATTACCTTCTCTAACTCCATATACCCCGTACCATCTGTGCTTCAGTGCTCACAAGTCTGAGTGTCCCAAGTACACAAAAAAGGAAAAAGTTGCACCAGGTGTAATTTAACAGAAGGCAGAACTCAAGATTCTAAAACGAACCCCATCGGTGGTAAGAGTTACGGGCTGCCATTATGGGTTCAGTTTTCTCCCCCTGGTTGATGGAAATTCTGAAACTGAAAACGCAAATATAGTGGGGAAAATTACCATTTTTTTTACAACCAGAAGCTGAGCTCCAATAGTACAAGCCAGATCAACTTGCTTAATCTGTAAGCCAGTTTCTGTGTGATGTTTTATGAAAGGGAAGTAGTGCTCTCCTTTACCATGACGAGCAGATGTAAAGCTAAGTCCTCCTGATACAATATAGCAGGTACCTTTTTCTCTTATCTGAAAATGCAGAATTCACAACCCAAGGAGGAAGAAGGAAATTTAAGCTCTCCCTGGGCAGGGGACACAGGGCGGCGGAGCGCCGAAGGCACTGAGGCTTTTCAGGCCCGCCTGGAATCAAACCCCCAGCTTCAAGTCTCACTGGCCAAGCGACGCTGGGCTTCCAAACCTCTTTGAGCCAGTGTCTTCAGCTATAAAACACGAACACCACTCCCTCCCTTCCAGTGTGGTTGTTAGAATATCAACCATATTTAGTCCCAGCACAGTCCCTGGCGTTAACTGGCACCCGTGTATTGGGAAGTCAAACCAGCAGAGCGAAACCCAATGGATGTGGAAGGGTACCCCTGGGTCCCGTTGCTCAGGACACCGCGTGGTTCTCAGCCACAGCTGAAGCCTTCCATCCCAGCTCTCCAAGGGCTTCACCAGTGATCCCCACCTCAGAGCAAGTCTTTCAAACTGGAAATTTGTTTTAAGTAATCTATGCCCAACATGGGGCTCAAACTCGTGACCCTGAGATCAAGAGTTGCACACTCTTCCGAATGAGCCAGCCAGGCGCCCCAAACTAGAAATTTATTAAAGCCTTTATGCAGCCACCCTCTAAAGGGTGGGGGAACTAATCTGCACTATTAGATGTCAGGATAGTGGGCTCTCTGGGTGGGGGCTGGCGGGTGGGCAGTTTCTGGGGTTACAGTTATGTCCTATTTATCTGGACGTTGGTTCATTGTATGTTCAGGTTCAGAAGATTTATCAAGTGGAAATTTGTATTATGATAGTTTAATAGTTTCAGCCATTTTCATCCTGAGTTTAGCTGGTTTTCACCCCTTCGGCTGAGGCTGGGATTGGAGGTAGAGAACAAGAAAAGCGAACCTTCTATTACTTCAACACTGGGTCGGTTCTCTTCCTTTACTCTCTTGGTCTGACCAGCGTAAGGAAGGGCGTGCAGAAGAGTGTTCTGCATCACTCCTGTGTGGCCTGGCAGACGCGTGCTCAGGGCCACCCCCGCACGACAACAGGACAAAGGGCCACCACCATACACCCCTCTGCTCCACTCACCCAAAAAGCAGGGGTAAGGATGAAAGGGATGGCAGCAGAACAGGTAAAGTCAAGGGTAAGGGTAAGGACAAAGACAAGAGTGTCCGTGCCCACGAGGAGGAGGAGGAGACCGTGAAGGACGGACACGGGAGGTGAACAGAGAAGGCAGGGCAAGGGAATGAAGAGGGAAGCGACAGATAAAAAGGTAGAAAAGTTTTCTCCAGCCTTTCCCTAGGTCAGTAGCATCACCTAGACTCTTCCGTGAGAGAGGACTCCCCGTGGACTGAGGCCCCACAGCTACCCGCGCGAAGCCGAGCACACAAGTCACCAGGCAGTGGCCCCCGCTGCGTCTGACACAGGCGGCCCTACTTGGGGCCGGGCTGACGTGGCTCCCCCACCCCACGGCCAGTGGCCGCCCGCTGGGGAAAGCTCTGATGAACAGCCCAAGTGCAGGACCGTGGCAGGGCCAGGGAGCACGCGTGGAG